TCGACGGAGACGAGGGGAGTGCGACCACCTGATGAGCCCCAAAATGGGTAGATTCTGTCGAGGGTGGCGTGTTACGTTTGTGGTTTCCACTCTGTTTTTAGCTTGACGAAACCTGGCACATTTTCAAAACGTTGAGAAAATAGTCGAACACATCATGTACGCCTGTTATACGTGTCCCGAAAACACTAATATCAGGGTTGCTGACGATTCAGTATATGGGGCCAAACACACTTTCATGCCCGAATAAGTCAGCAAACAAAGAATTCACAAGTTGCGGAGCAGAAAAACTTATGGTTACCAATGATCTGTACAGACTATGTCGACCAATAACACGATGGTATACTTAAACGATAAAAGGGTAGGGCTTCAGAAAGAGACCGCAACGGTGAAAAAGCTGACATAATGTCAAACACGTAGTGCAGTTTATTTACTGACAGGTTACTTAGTGGGCAAAAGGAGTGCAAAAGGAGCTAGGCTTGTTAGACTGTCAGTCAACTCATCGCACCTACTGTTTTATGTCGGTTATCCTAACTTCATAAAATTACTGTTGTTTATACTTTCTGGTAGATCCATTCTACGTTATATCAAGGCATTCTCGCTGAGCTTGGTGCAATAAATCCTCACGTTTTTACAGGTTTCAACTTGCTGTGCGTTTCTTTATTTACTTTTCTGTTAGTGGGATCGCTATGAAGGAAAATCAGGCCTTATTTAAGCTTTTTGACACTGGTGCTTCAGTGCCGTACAACCAGAATTTATTTCATATCATCGTTGTAAAGAATAAAAGTGGACGGGTAATGGAGCTAGTGCTAGCCTACCACAATCATTACGAGGTGTCTGCAACCCATTTAGACAATCTGGATAGGAAAGGACAACAACGCCACTGACTGGTCAGCAGCTATATGTTGTAGCGTCTCCGACCAGTCATACGGCGGATCAGGCGGACTTATCCTGAAAGGTGAGTCGCACCGATGGTACTCAGATTCTTCGTAGTCTCTTCCAGTCCAAGGAGTGGCCATCACTCTGCTTGCGCCATCCTGAAGTGTGCATGCCAAAACATCACTATTTTAGGCAAACGATGATTCACCGTGCGCAACACGTGGCCCAACCACTACAATATTCGGTCACATACTTCGATTGAAGTATCTGTTGCACAACCAAACACTTGTTTTCTAACTGTCACGTTGCGGATACGTGCTGCGGCTCTGAGACAGCGGTTAGCAATGTCATCCTCTCCTCTTCGAAGATGAGAAGGATGTTGTCTGCCTATAGGTCTGCCCAGATAGGTAAGTTGTCAGTCACCAGCTTTTTAAGCACCAGGGTATGAAAAACGTCCAGAGTTCGCCTCATTATCTCGTCCATCACGAAATTAACTAGGAATGGAGTGTGGGCATCCTTGTTGGACAACACTGTGTACGGAAGCTCTTGGAGAGAACCGCATATGCTCTCACATGTCTTCAAGTCCGAGAATACAAAGAAACTACCATAGTGTTAAACTTCTGGGGCACCCCTTTCTGAGCATGTCTTTAAAGGATAACATACCGGTCAACCAAGACACAAATGCGACCTGTAAATCCAGAAATACTACATTTGTGGGTCGTTACTACGCGTGGCACCTGGCGGAGTGCGAAGGTTTGGTCAGCGTAGCATTGGTCGGTCGGAAATCCGCTTGCTGTTCTCGATTCGAAGCTACATCGGCTATCATAAGGCAGTGAGGTACAAGCGATACAAAGCCTCACATTACGACTGGAGTCAAGTCAGTCCATCTGTGATTACGGCGCTATTTACGGGCTCCTTTTTCAGGAAAATGCGACGCTCTCTAGGTGGAGACAACTAGATAAGACAGGCGCTGTCTGAAGACTTCAAACTCATCCTTGTACAATATTGTTGGGAGGTCATTCGGTTCAGGAACTCGGTGGCGCCTGAGAATAACAGGCAACCATAAACTTCCAAAGCCATAAGGGTTTCCAGGTTCCAGGTTCACGGTCTTAGTACACATCGACCATCCCACCGAGTGGCAGCAGGTGGCCTACCGGTCAAGGTGTTCTTCCTTATAAAAGATGGTCGCGTAATTTTGATCCCAGATGAATTTCTTCACCGGCGGTTTCCGACGGCAGTCACAGGGATCTGGCATTCCCAGACTTCTTCCCCTCTTTCACTTTCATGCCCATTAGGCCCCACGGTTGGTATAGACACTGGCTTTCACTTGATGTCTGACAATTAATCAAGCTGAATTATTTCCAGGACCTTGCTTAAATTACTTAGATTACTTCGAAATTCAAGCAGCAATAATGATCATCAGTGCTTGACTGCCTGGTTTGCCACAGGCAGCAATTCCGGCATTGCGCATAAATGATGTCGATCTTTTCTGCACCACGAATTGACATACGTCGATCCACTAGTTAGAAGAGAGCCCAGAAGACGATTCTGAAAGATGTATCTAACTTCGGTTGCTAAGCTAGCTTTCTACCCCTTACACTGCCCTGGAAAGTGAAGAGAAAAGCATCCTCGGAGGAGTGCATGGCCAGAATGCACAAAAACGTTCCAGAAGGAGCGTAATACATAGTCTGTGGACAGCACACATCTGGAGTCTTTCAGAGTCTAATCCAAGTCGACCACCAACTGAGACTCATACACGCTAATCACGCCTGTTTGTACACTGAATTATCTAACAACTACAACGAATTATGAGCTTTTAGCCCACCTTACCAAGGCATTCAAGGCACCATAAAACCGGTGTTTGATGGTATCAGGGCTATAGTCTGTTGGGACGTACACATACATGATAAAAAAAAATCCACTTCCCGCTCGTATGAACCCCTCACAGACGTTTATATAAACCACAAAGAGCTGATTATCAAATGGTATCCAGTCAAGCAAGGTTCTTCCGTCAGGTGATTTCGGTCGATACCGTCCCCTGTATATTCTACTCCGGTGGCCTATGAATCGCCAGTTACGTAGCCTATTTCCACGTAAACGTTAATTCAGACATATAAACCGGGCGTCGAAGCTTGAATATTATCTTGAATTATTTGCTCTGCTACGCAGCACATATCAGTCTCAAGAGAATCCAGTTTGAGAGCTAGCGTATTTTGTTTTCCGCCTATTTCCACGTAAACGTTAATTCAGGCATATAAACCGGGCGTCGAAGCTTGAATATTGAGTTTAATATGCCTGAGGCTGTCGGGGCCAGCGGACGCACAGATATCACGGTCAATGCCGATGCAAGATCAGTACTGACGGATGGGCCTAGGAGGATGAGGGAGAGCGGGTGAACGAGAAAGGCCTGTTTTCCCCACCTCCTCTGCTGCACACAGCAAGATGACCCGGCTAACGACGTCACGCGACTGCCGATGTGGCATGACAGTACTTCTAATTGTAGAATAAGGATCGTGCGAGCTGCGATACTACCAGAGAACCCAAACCTAGAAAATAGGACGATTAGTGTCTTCAACTGAAGCCTCTGGTTCAAAAGCCTGGCCACATGGCAGCAGTGTTTATCGAGAAAGCTAGTGCACTACACTTTTTAAAGAGCAAGTCGCCACACATGTTCCATCCTTCAACCTGGAGGAGAGATAGTTTGTGTTGGTCTAACCTCTAACCATTGACTCTCCAGTATAGCTCACTGTGGTGCGGAACAACAAACCAGCGTCACAGAACGATAAGGTCCAGCCTTTTCGAGACGAAATGTATCTAACCTTTACATCTACATCGTCCTTTTTCATTTTATTTGACAGACGCCAAGTGACTGCTGTCAGTATCACGTGCTGGTCCCTGCTAAACGAATGGATCAGAAAACTTACTTGACGAGATTGGCCATAAGCAGCAAATGTGCCTTACTTGAGGATTTATGTTAATTTGTTAAAAATCGCAATGTCAACGAAAGTATCCTCCCAAGATTGCTGGTCAAAACTATGTGTTCTAGAAGTTGATCCATGTTGGATAGAACTTGTTTTTGTTCGTGGCCATATCGAATGTAACACTCAAGTCATGTATTGTCGTTTCTTTATCCCACCTAGTCACTAAAGATTTACTGACCTGTGCTATGTTGAAAACTCCTAAGACCGTAGTAAAACATTGGCGCCTGAGCTGACTGCCGAACATTCAAGGCCATCTCGGTAAAACAACTTTTGGAGGGTCGACTAGATTGCTTGCGTGGTACGCAGATGATCCTTACTACGAATTTCAATGAAGTTGACCTCGGTAAAGAACCGGTGTTTGACCGTCACAGAGCAAAACACCAGTGGCTATTCATAAACTTAGATCACCGGGTCTTCTACAGTCTCAACAGTTATTTCTGTCCGTTGACATAGAGCTGTGTCTACAACAGCTAAAAATCAGGCTGTGGATCTAAAGGCTGGAAATTTTCTGTTATTTGGGAAAGTATGAGCTCTTGATGAACTAATATTGGTTGGGAACATTCCATACATTTATTGAAGAATCCCATCGAGACCTAGCAGTCTCGATATTACATCAACCATTTTGTTACTAAAACGTCTCTTCGCGGTTTTGCTTTGAAAAGACACTGTACTTCGGAAATAATAATGTAATATAAGCCTCAAAATTGAGAGACGTCGTCTGTCTGTCTATCTGTCAGCCTCTCGCCAAGAGACCTATAGGGATACATGGGACCTACAGGAGCAGCTAGTTTGTTCAGTGCACTCAGGGTGGGCGAAATTTCCCACTTAAGTAGACCGTCTTGAAACACTGTATGCATGTGCCTTCAGATCGACAAACGGAGAAACATCTGCAGAAGACTATTTTGCTTTTATCTGGTTCATTAGTAGTGAGGCATCTAAACCGCCAAAGTGGTACAGAACAACCATATCCATCGACTGAAGAATAACCGGATACCAGTGTTGACATGTTAATCCAGCCAGATCAGATGGGTCCACATAGCCTCAGGTCAGTTACCACAAGGAACTGAAACCGTCATAATGCAGCAAGATATGCCCATCGGAAATTTGTATATACAACTGAAACGTTGACTCACTTGGAAGGTGGTGAAAGCTTGGAAACGTGTCTGACAGTAGGTGCACAAGTAAGGTCTCTGAAGGGCAATCTGGGGTTGTGGTGAATGTGGTGGACTGCTAGGGCGGTCGATGATTGGCAGTCCAACTTTCGGCGACGTTGTATTTTTCGTCTTTTGTGCGCCAAGTAATGCGCTGCACACCAGTGGGTCCCCGAATCTGGTGCCGGGATAGATGGAATTCAACAGAGCGAATGCTGGAAATATTTCGCCTAAATTTTGTCGAATGTCACTTGCTTGGGCCTGTGACACCGATCTGTTTGGTCCACTCTGTGTGCAGCTGAGCAGATGAGATGACTGACCAAGCAGCTCTGTCCGCGCGCTCTGGTCTGGGGATTTCGGTAGTGTTACTAGGGCCGGGAAACGCTGAACATCTGAGGGAACAGTTGCCAGGTAGAGTTGGGCCATCAGCTGCGGCAGAGAGTTTGACGACTGGGAGTTCACAGCATTACTCGGGTCTGCCAGAGTTTTCTCAATATTTACATCATCATTTACAGCGTTACCTAATAACTGAGCAAAAAACTGAACCAGTGTAGGATCGATATGTCCACTGGAACCCTGCGCATAAGCCATAGAAGGAATTTCAGGTTTATTGTCCACACAACCCTCAGTAATTGGTGAATACGAGTTTGCGGGGGTGGCACACAGCTGTGATACGAGCCCGGGGCTATGAAGCAGTGAAGTAGTCAGCGGCTCGGGCTGCGAAGCGCAAGACAAATCAAGTACACTTCCAGCAGTCTGGTTGGTCATGATCTGGTGTGCGGATGGACATCGGTCGGGTTGGTCACCGTGTGATTCTGTTCGTTTTGTAGGCGCAGTTCTGGAGCCTGGGGAATGCGGGCTACCAGAAGCCGGTTGATGATTATTAAGTAGACCACAAGCTGGATGCACGGGAACAAACTGCAAACCAGTTGCAGTAAAAAGAGGCGCAGTCAGGACCAATCCAAGCCGCGCTGATGCCTCAGCAACTGACTGGAACGAACATTCCTCATGTCGGGCGACAGGGTTCTCTTCAGTGGTGGAGTTTTGCGGTGAAGAAGCTACGTTTCCAACACGCAGCAACCGCGTGCTCATCTGCAAATGGCAGATGTAAAGATAATTTGATGCAAAGTAGCGCTGACAACCAATACAGTATACTGGTGCCGGCGTTGTGGATGTGTCCCAGGACAAGACATCGCAAGCCGAACCCGAATTTTCTGGTTCTGTTGGCCTCTTAGCTTGATAATCCAGTCCGTCTTTGAGAAACAGAGAGACGTCTTCTGATGTGGAAGGGTTTTGACTTTCGGGTGATACGGTTCCCAGAGGCTGAGCGGCGTTTTCCTGCCTTTTAGCGGGTGGTGAGTGAATCTTCCCAGGAGCGGTAGCTGCCGAAATTTTGTTCAGAAAGGGTAACAGGGTTGAAGTTGCCGTGGATTGCGAAATCCAGTTGGGACTGAGTTGTCCTAGAGACTTCAAAACTAAAGTTGAAAGGATCGGGTTCAGTGAAGGAACTTTTATATTGGGAAGCGAATCACCCAAGGGGTAAGTTGATGCAGTATCGCGATCAGATGATGCCGTAGCGAGCATTTGGTGCGTAGTGAAACAATTCGACAGTGCATTTGCAGTTGAACCATCAATATTCGCAGTGAACGTGTTTACTCGGCTTGCAGGACGCTTTGTATGGGTACTACGATGTTCTGAAGGTAAGAAAAACAATAGTATTAAAAAGTAAAAGCTCCAAACAATATCTAGACCCAGAGGTCCAATGAAAAAAGACTGGAAACAACACAGACTTGGATATAAGCGACCGCTGGAATTGATTAACTATGCTGTAAAACGTTTCAGTCAACTTTATTTCAGCCGTTTCTTACATTGGTTTTTGGGGAGTAGTATGCCTCAAATATCTCTACCAATCTTTTCAAGGCGGCTCTAACACTGCGTTGAATGAACTGAACATATGCTGAAGTGATATTCTAAGGCATGAATCAGAAGTAGCAGAAGCAAAAAAACAAAGAATGGACAGCACCCTATTCATGCAGAACCTATAGACACCCGTTTACCACTCAGATTTATCGGTCACTGTGATCGTTACCGACGATGTTCCCAATAGGATGTCCATGTAAGCGATTTATCTGAACAAACAACGTGAAAAACAGCTTGGGACCAAGATAACCAGAGAAACATGATTGCCGGACTGATAAGCAGACTCACGCACCGATAGGTGGTGCGATAAGGAAACGCGAGCTCTGATGTGTGGTTGTGTGCGTTGGTGCATGTGAACATCCTGCGGACGCGTGCTACCATAAGCTTGTGTTAGATTGTAAGGGCGATTAAGTGCCGTGCGCGCGCTGTTCAGGCTGTTTCTGGTTCCAGTATATGAGGTTCCAGGGAGCAAAATCGATCAGTTGAATGAAATTGAAGGGTTGTCGCTCCTGTCCTGACTTAGGTCCTCATACACGGCGAGGGCTCATGACACAGAGAGACGCACGCACACAAACAACGCATGAAGGGCGATGGCCACGCAAAACATCGGAAAAGAAAAAGCTAAACAGGTCCACTATCAAGATGTGCTGATAGCGATTGTTTGTCAACTGGCAACAGATATGAATGCATGGGCGTATCTACATGATATCATTTATCAACGGTTCCATTAAATAACATTTCCGTGCAGCAATCAGTCTTTGTTGACGTGATGGCGGGTAGAAAGACAGACAGCGTTCTAGAAAAGCTATGGAGCGCATGGATTGTAATCTGTTTGTGTGCTTCATAATGTTAACAGAAAAGTAGGGTACCTTGGTTTTAAGACTGCACAAGCTCGCATAGAAAATACTCGGTTTCCTAAGCATGAAACATTGTCAAGTAACACTCGAAAGAGCCAATAATAGTTTCGCCGTCATTCGGACCCGTTCGCTATGCTTACATTCTAGAAGAAACCAATGAAACCTTCAACTACTGTTGTACTACCTCCCTAATATCACTTCAGAAAAGTCAAAAGAATTTGCTCCTATTTGGGAAGTGGTCGTGTATTGAAAAAGTCGATCGCTTGATACCTGCGAAAGCCGGGTAAAGCTAGAGTTGTATTTGAGATGGAGCCGTTAGATAACAGGCGTGCCATAAGGGCGAGTTAAAAGTAAATCACCCAACCCTTTTTCCAATCTCTTCTCAAAGACAACAGACGACCAAGGGACAAGGAGACAGATAGCATGTCTATCTAGGTCACTCACATTGACTAAATGACCGGTATTGTTCCATTGTGATCTGAAAGAATCACCATAAGTACTAGTCAAGTGGGACTCTTCCTGAGAAAAAAACTAAGTACAAACATTAAGATTGAAGCCAAAGTATCACAAGCTGTCTGTTCACTGAACTTGTTTCACAGCATGCTCCGGGTCGTTAGGAGTTTTACAGCCAGAAGACTTTCAGTACAGGAAATAACAGCGAGTGTAAATCCCGATTCATTCACTAGACTACATGTACCAGAGATCACGTTCCAAATCACATGTGCTGTAAGTTTAGTCTTGCCTCATCGAAGCGCGACAGTCGACCTCCGAAATTTATCAGACAGCCTACGAGACTACTTTGTGGTTAAGTCAACATTCGATGCGGACACATTGAATGAGAGTTGCATCGTGCACCCTGTCTAACGAATATGCCTACACCATCTAGCCACAGTCACATTCTCTTGCTCACGTCTGCCTGACCGATGAGGTGCACGGCTGATGAGCTCAAGCAAGACCGAATGGCAGTGACTATGAATGCTAATATTCTATCTGATACCGTGCACGGTATCTAACATGAAATAATACACTCATGGGGCTCACCATAATACAGTGTAAATGCGAACATGAGCACAGTAATCGGTATGCAACAAACTACTCACGAACCAGTCCGGTGTTGCTGTAGGGGAATTTTGTCATACCCGTATTATCAACTGCATCTATGCTGGGGGAAGTTGTACTTATTGAAGATGTGTCTGTGGTAGTCGCCGAACAAGGTGGTGCAAGAATCTGGTTGGTTACTGCCTTTGGTCGTTTTGAGCAATAATGTGTCATATGAGCAGTCAGTGTATCCACGTTTGAAAATGGGATCCCACAGTATGTGCACTTTTTGTCCCGCTTTGGTCCACTTATACCCCCAGATGTGGTAGCCGACTGAAACGTCGGTGAACTCAGGCCCTTCGATGAATTTCCCGGCAGCTGCTGCGGGCCAACATCCATTCCACCATTGGAAGATATCAAAGATAGAGGAGGCGCTGTTGGACATAAATTGATGGGAAAAATCTGGTAAAGTGTAAGTGCATAAATTCAGATTTCACGCAAACGAATGTTGCCACATATGAGTCAAAACAAATTATAGATACTCAGTGAACATAACTTCCCCTTACAAAAAATTATGAATAACTCAGACATAATGATGAACGCCAAGAGAGATCGCCCCAAAAGTTTCACTTTCGAGAAAACAACAGCCTACTCAACCAAGTCGAGAAGTAATTTCCCATGTGTACATCAACTCATACAGCGTTTGCTCCCTCAGTTGGGCAAGGGAATATGCAAACGCTTTCTAGCGGCTTTTCCCTTAAACCTGTATGATGTAAATCCATCAGACTAAGCCTGTGATTGGGCATACCACATCCAAAGCAGAACTATCGGACGCAGGACTCACTAGTCAGTAAGATTTACGTATAGACACACCCCATCCAGTCATTCGAACTGGAGGACACCTGCACGCTTATTGAGATTTTCGGAAAGTGTTGATAGATTTATCTTCTTGTGGCGTTTGTATAGGGCATAAAAGCTAGGTCCAAGCATTTTCCCAGTAATGTTCCGATCAAAGCTGTGTGCCAATGCCTGGAAAAGCCCTCTCATAAGGATACAACGGCAAATCGCCAACGAAAAAGATATGAGCGACATGAGTGACTGCCTTTCTTGAGAGCCAGTTTGAGGGTCATTTTTCCTTTGATCGGCATCCTAAATTTGTTTAAAAACTTGTGTATTGAAAATAGTTTATCGTTTGCTTGACATATTCTCATCGACATACTTAAAAGGCTTCAAATAAACAGATGGTCTTCCGTCTTGCAGTTAATTTTGGACCAATGGACTTCAATCATCGGTGAATCACACAACCATGTGATTGTAGATATCGTTAACAGTAAGTATTACGGGATATATCCACTAAAAATTTCTGGTCAATTTCTTAAGCTAGCAAAACTGGATTCAGAAATATTAAGCGGTTAGGCCTGACGCAGGAGATCAAAAACAGCTATGTATAGCAACATTACGAGTGAGTAACAATGTAGAATGCAGGAAATTGATATATGCAACATTGTTTTGAGTATCTCACGACAGAATGTTTACGGGGTGTGCGAAAACTCTTCGTCTTCCTTTCCATGTAGTGGCAGATATTTTCAACAACTTTTGCCACAGTAGGATATAAATCTTCGTTTTGTACAGAGAGAACTTTCAACAAGTTTGCACGTCTCGTCAGAGTGTAGATATCTTCCCGTTTGGAAGCGCTTATTCGGGTTTGTACAGTGTATGCGGTTGAAACACGCTCATGGAAACGCGTGGAAACACACTCATCCAAAGTGATTCCTCTCCAAACTCCACATTCTGGATTCGGTTTCGTCCACAGTACATACAGGTACCGTAGTACCATCACAGTATTTGGCACAGTCGAGCGACCGGTGCGTGGAAAGTATCTATCCGAACAAACAATAGTCAGTCATCTTTTGATGAGAATGTCACGTTAGGGTCGATAAACAGGTAAGTAAAGCGACGCATTAGCATCCTAACCGTTATGGTTTATGCACCGTGGCTCTCTGTTAAAATGTTTTTGCGTCCTCCGACTTATACGAACACCTGTGTACCGAGTTGGTTTCGACAAGAGACTTACCTTGGAAACAGGTGAATGCGTCGTTTGTGATGTTTCCCAGCATCACGACCACATCCTACTTCCTATTCAACCTGCTGACTATATGCCACGCGTGATATAGTCTTCGGATAAGCTGACTAGCTATGATCGATCGGAGGATTCTAAGTGAAGCGTTCTGATTTCTCAACGCGGTGTGGGAAAAAGGTTTTTAATTCTGTCCTCCTTTATCGTGAAAGTGTCTGCTGACCACAGGTATTTGCGGGAATTTGAGTTCAGATTCACACCACTGTCATTAAGCAGTCCTCCTCATGTCCCGGATAAATTATTCTGATGGGTACACACCAAAAATTGGAAGCAAAACGCTCGGGTTTGGCTCTTCTCAGAGTCTATCAAGAGTACATATCCTTGGCCGTGCCGGGAAATGCAGGGAGAACGTGTCACCACGACTCTAACAACACAGACTGGAAGTACATGAATTATTGCGTTGATCGACTGACCTACCAATCAGATAGCTTCGCAAAAGCTCGGTTGATTGCTGGCACTAGCGGAATCCGTAGAATTTGTACCCTCGTCTGAACGCCACTGTAGCACTTCCACTATACAAACTGGATGTACGGGGTTCGGTCCGGGCATTGTTGGTGAGCTCTTGTAGGATCAAAACTCGCTCTTTTATGCGGAGTAAAGTTACCACAGAATGAAGAATATTGTTCAAATGGTAGCCCGAGGTGATTATGCCGTACTGCTTTCGACTGCCACTTTGAGAAACGTGAATACTCTATGGGTCCCAATTCATCCACCTGGATGGAAACTAGTGAAGTGATAATGTGATTCGAACCATTGATTTACCGATCCCTACTTGATAGCTTATAGGACTGCAAATTAGTTAATCTACATCGTGATCTGCGGTTGGATTGATGTGATAAACCCACGCGTGTTGCTTCTTACAGCTTCTCTTCCTTGTTGTGGTGTAGTGTGTGTTCGGTTCGGTTACGCGCGCACGCAGCCAAATCAACGCACACGAATCCGTGAGCTTGTTTATGTGCGTGTGCCTCAGAGAACTCCATATATTCGTATGTCATACACATACCCATAGGGTATTACACTAAGGCTGCCGCCAGCGGTATATACGTCAGTGGGCGCCTGTTTAGATGCCTAGCCATAGATGAGACTGTCAGATTGATACTAGAGCTACGGATATTGCAATGGACCAGTGCGTGATTTGCACGTTCACAGAGAGAGAGACAGCAAACGAAATTGATCACACAGAGAGGAAGTGCATCGGAGTGGACGAGATAAGAGCAGTAGAGCGCGTCTATCACCTTATCATTTCGTATAGATCTGTAACTTGGTTTTCAGCTGTCTTATCGCATCCGCAATCACCCGCACCCGTCGATAGTTTTATGGAGGGGCGCGGTAGAGTTAGATTGAAATGTCGAACACATAATATGTGCAGTGTACAAGTGAGTGCCACCATATATTGACATTGTCATCCGCATCCCACTTACAATCTATTACCACAGAAACCGGGCTAACGACGGTGAGAAAGGGAGAATAAACAGAAGTACGCTTGGTAGTATTACTCACACCATTTACAAACGCCCCAAACCCAAAAGATGAAATACCCCGATTGGGCAACTGCTTTTATCACCCGCTAATGCGTTTCTGAAATTGTATCCAGCGATCCAGCGACAGAGTGAACTATGATAGCAGGGAGAGTGAGCCATGCCGAGTGATAGAGCGGAAAGTGGTGTACGACTGTACACTCCACTCAGTTCATGAAGATAAAATCAGTTGGATTTCCTTTGCTTCGCGAGTGGTTTGGTTTGAAGCGCACGGCAAATAGGATGGGTAACACTGAAAAATTGAAATGAATAACTTACTAGGCCGTACACTCAAAGCTCCGTAAAGCATGTCATTGGGATCCAATTCTCTTGTGACAATCAGTGTAATTGTTTTTGACGACGCTATCAACCAAAAAAGTGGAAAGATGGAAGTAACTCTGTCAAGGCATGCCGATTCTTATTATCATTGATTGGCAAAGCAAATGACAAGGGAGTGACCAGAAACTTTGGACAGTAACGAAACTGAAAAAGGATTTCAGGCTGCACTATCCAGGGTGCTGAAAACTTGTAACTTTAGTTCGCTTTCAACTTAGAATAAACCACAGTTCTGAGGAGTGAAATTCACAGCACACGTAACTAGTATCAGTATGGTCAGGACCACTCAGAACTTTATGGTTGTTAAACAATAAACACTCATTCCATACAAATCTCTGAGGAGAGGTCAATCTGAGGAAAGAATTTAGTCTTCAGAAGAGCAAAGAACTTTAATTCTCCCTGAATTCACATCACGAGTTACCACATCCAGTGAGACCTCCAAACTTCCATGATAGGCCACATTATCCAGCACCGTAGTCACATTCTTTAAAATACTACCGTACCAGTGAGTAATCAGCCCATTCCAAAATTTCGTATGGAACAGATATCCATGTCAAGTGGTAGATGTTCATTTACAGCCGCAGTTACATGTCTTTCATTAGGTTCTAAGCATGTCTGGAATCCACATACTTGCTGCATCAAATGTACCCATGCTCATGCTTGACAACTTTTATCCGCAGTGTCAAGGCTTGGGACGAACTAACTACAATCAGCAAACGTTGTTTCCTTTTGCTCGTATGGCGGCGTATTATCATGCACTTAAAATGGGGAGAATTTAACTGGGGGCGGTACTTATATGGAACTGCTTTGTCACAGAAGTTTAGCAATCAGATGGATTCAGAAAAGTTGAACCACTGATAGCAATAAATTCAGTCAACGAAAAACTAAATGGCGAAATGTGTGAATGGGTTGTGCAAGTACGTTTTAAACAAAACAGCAAAATGAACGGAACGCAGGTTTCAGGATGCTAAACTATTTCCCAGATTGTGTCACATAACTTTGTTGCCTTTTGTGACAAAGCTGTGAGTTGGAGATGTCCGTGTGCAGTCAACGACAAGAGCATCCTCTAAGGCTACTCACAGTAAGAAATCCTGAATGAAGATTGAGGCTCGGTCATTAAGTATTTGTAATCAGAGTAAAGAGATGCTTCTAGAGATTCGGTCCCCAATGCTACTTTTTCGATATTGATGAAGCGTTTCAACTTTTTATCCTATAGTTTAGAAAAGTGTTGACGACGAAGCGCCGTTAGTAAGGCTTGTACCCTTCAGAAAAGTGAACTAGTTCCCTCGATATGATGTTCTATTCAATAGGTGTCTGAAAACTCTTCGAAAGTACACGACCGGATTTGCCCGTCCTTGGGACTCATCAGGAATTCTCAAAACTTCCTTCAACCTCATGTCCTACTTGAACGTCAGACTGTACGCACTTGGTGGAATACACTTTCTGGTAAATTGCACTGGTGTCAATGAGAGACTCGAACAACTCCCCCGTTCATGATATTCTCCAGCTAAACGCGCTAAACAAAAGCCATCTAATGTTTCACTTGGCATGATATACAAGATAACGTGCTATATTTTCTTGACATTGTATGCTAATCACTAATTTGTCCTTCAAAATCCTAGGAGAGAATAGTTTTGAGATATGTACAGAAAAGAAAGCAGGTAGGAAAGAGAGCACCTAGGAGATTTCAGCTTTTTAAGTGCACGCTCGTGTTTGTATCGCTTGCTTACCATGAAAAGTTTGATGGCGAATGAATTCAATCGAAACCAGTCACGAATCCCAAACGGTCGACCAGGAAATTCGTCCACCCGCTTTGTATACAAATTACACATTCTTATAGAAATTTCTGTATGTACCACAGGTAACTACTGGTTTACCTGCTAAATAGAAATACTGTGGATCAGTCTCTGGAATTGCAGCTTCAGAAACGAATTTTCCCGCCAAATCCTCTTAGAGGGCTTTTTCTCCGTTGTGCTGGCATTATAGAGGATCATAGGTGCTAATTGTTAATGGATTCTTAAGAGTCCCATGTATGCTGCAATAAAAACAACAAGTAACTGGAATGATTCACAAGTATGCTTTGTCGTAAATTTCCCATTTTTCCTACTTCACTTCTGGTTCTCACTTCGCGTCAGGAAACTTACAGAAATTGTACTTTTCTTGCTTCCCCCTTCACAAAGTGTTTTTCAACCAACCAATGACCGTTTTTAGGAGGGCGAGTGCGGGCTGTTGTTACACAATGTATAGTTATTCTGGTCACATGGTTGGTTACGAACTGAGCTCCCCGTTATAATGAAGCATTGCTATTTCTTAAGACTGTTTTGCCAAGGTTTATCGAAATCAAGCAGATGTTTGTAAATTTCGCTCTGTTTAGAGCTCATCAGTTGGACGTAACAGAGATTTATTACACATTAAAACACAGTACTGAACAACTCACTTGCTTTCTAAATGAGAAGCCGTTGATATATAACCAAAAGTGAACTCGTTAAAAATAATATTCACTCAAATTTACAACAGTACATTTCATCCAAAGTTTACATGCTAATTAGAGGAAGGAACGGAGTACATTATCCTAAAAGCTGATGGATTTGACAAGAAAAAAAGACCTGCTGCTCACTACGGCAACTGTTTTTGGTTTGGCCAGGTTAACTTCACGAAAATGTAACAATTGTGGGTTACGTATATAATCCCTCCGAACAGAACAAATTCACTTTTAGCCAGTCTTCAATGAAGCTCTCTTTCTGAAAGAGTATCCTCTTTCACATAAAATACCCTTCGGATGACAAATAGCCACATTCTCTATAAAATAGCACTCCAATCAAATCAGCTCTAATGAGTGTAGGTAGCGACAAATGTGTATTACACTGAAAAGAGCCAATTATTAGTGAAAGTTTGTAGTCGTTCAATCCAACATAAGTACTGACCAGTGTTGCTGAAAACCTCTGGACAGCAAACTACCGGTTTCGACCTGTCTGGGGCTGGTTTGAAGGCGGTGTCTTCGGGTTTCAGTCAACACAATGCTTTACTTGAATCCAAATGGGACGCAGTTCGTGAAGTACACTCATTTGCAGATCAATTTGGTTGTACCGTGGGACTCAGTGTAATTCCGACATAAACTCCCGTTTATTACATTATTCATCCGAATACAGTCACATAATTTGTCTTGTGTTTCAGTTAGCAATATTTACCAGATATCGCAGTATATTCTCGAGCGGGAACAACAAACTAGTTGGTGTGCCAATGGGTGTCTCTGATAACTAGTAACCTCTAAAGAAATAAAGCAGTACTGAATAGTCAAGGACTGAGCGGATGGACTACTAATTTCCATAGAAGTGCCTCAGTATCTGAATGAGTAATAACTCTTCAATCTATTGGAGAATGTTTTGAACCAAATCAAACCCTTGTGAAACGAGTTGTAGTTTATGCAGAAAGAGGGACGGTTGTAGTTAGCGAGGCGCCTTGCATTATATTTGTTTTTCTTCAGCAATTACGTTCGTTAGGTATGAAAAAACTTACGATCCAATACTAGATCCACGTTAGACTCCTGTTGACTCATTCGAATACCTGATTCGTGCAGTAACTTGATCCACATGTGTTCCTCGCCCAGCACAATCGTAGTCTCATCCACCGGACAGTTGGAATTCTGTGTTGAGCAGAACAGGAACAAAGTGAAAATTCTAAGACCGAGCGGATGAGATAGTGATATATATCCATATACCCGTTATTGTGAGATTATGGCGCGCAGTACAAGGACTAACTGTGTCAGTTTGGGTTCAGTTAATTTGTTAAGAAAGGACCACAATGAAATTCAAACTATGGTGTGTACTATAAAGGGCAGGTTACCACGGCCCAAAGATACGCGCCTGGTTTTTTGTTCCACATGAGTACAACATACAGTGAAGAACTGTCGAAAAAGACCCAGCTGACAGTGAAGTCAGTCCCACGTATCGTTCCTACTCTGAACGATGCAACCAGGGTTAGCTGGGTAAATCAGACCGTTGGCGACGCTGCGGAATATAAGTAGCCTGGATGCGCTCGGTTGCTGGGCTGTTCACCGAGCTTGGCAGTTGGATTACAAACATTTCATCATCAATCGAGCTGACATCGGACAGCAATGACCAAGATCCGCCTTCTGAGTGGCTTTGTGGTCAGTAGTAACCTGCAATAGACAGCAGCAACCAAGATCCGCCTGCTGACTGGCTTTGTGGTCAGTAGTAACCTGCAATATATATGAGGCCTTAGTATTTTTCGCAGGAAGAAGACTCAATAAACTATGTCAGCTAACCAAGGCCAAAATCCTGATGAGTGGCGGGCGATCAATTGAAATCATTCTTTGAGAATGAAAGGTAAGAAAGTTTTAGGGTCAAACAAGTCATCAGATAATTTTAGAAAAAACCAGTCCCATTTAGACCAAGTACCGTGGCTATTTTGGAGAAGTCCAACTTCTCTAGAGATTCACCAGTCTAACAGTATATGAAAGCTACGAAACCATTATCGTTAACTTTATGATCACACATTAGCATTAATGTCAGTGTTGTAAGCGGTCTACGACGGTTTTCACCCTTCCAGTTACACCTGATTCCGGATACAAAGGGCGAAAAACAACACACTCTTGAAACAGAAGTTATTTTGATCTATTCCGGCATGCACCCGGTTCCAGATCTTCAGCATTCATAAGTAACTGGTTTCAGTGAATTCCGCAAATCAGGTTAAGTGCTCCTAGTCATCAAAATTTATAAGATCGACAGCCCTGAGTAAAAACTTCAGTACGAGTTTCCTCGGATTTTGTTATTCGGACAATGGTTTGTGAGTTCACATGTGAAAGCAGCAAATATGGACAGCAGAAAACAAGGACTTACTTTCACAGCGATTTTTAGCACGTTTCCTGGGCTTTGTTCCCCCAAAGTGTGCAAGCTTTTTTTGCACTCTTGGCTCAGATGGACTAAGTAAGGACCCCAGATGTGCCCGACCACGAATCGTCCAACAGCACACACCGTTGGCTGTCCGCCACATGCAGTGGAAAGCTGACATTTAAGTCCAGGTGGAATGTAATTCAGTTGAGGCGATAATGTTGAGCCTCGCTCCAAGGTGTGCACGTCCCGTGAACAAACTTGCTCCTCCGCACCTTCGTCCATATTTTCCATATTCTCTGTTAAAACAGTAAGTTTCACGATAAAGTAAAACAGAAATCACAGCATAATTTCGAGTTAAAAACATGTGCGATGTACGTATTTGGGTGAGACTTCTGCAACTCTAGATAACTGGAACCCGCTTGCATTACACGACTGGTTCATTGGCTGGATTTGGATTTTGAAGGTTAAATGAGACATTCCAATGCAAGAATGGAAGCAGGGTAGAAAATATATATAGTCCAAATTTCAGTTTCAGCCTTTACTAAAGCTCTAAAACAGTAATTCACAACACCTCTCCTCAAAACCAACACGGATCGGGCCTGTTCTTACCCTCAACCAAACGATACTCAAAAGGCTCACTTCAATATGAGAATCCTATCTAAGCTCATTCACATTTTAACGGCAAAAGGAGAAACAGTGACTTTCCTTGCTTCGGCTGCAATATGAAACTGATTCTATGTATCCCTAGGCGTATAGCCAAGATTCTCCATGTATTCGACTTTTTCGTATAATCAACAAAGCTTGAGGCTGTGAAAATGGGGCCTTCAGCCCTTCCGTGAATTTTGGAAATTTCCTCCAATGTGGGATCATTGCTTTGTTGGAGTCGACGTGATTTCACGGTTCAGCTTCTGATAAGAATTTGTATGAGAACTAAGGTAGTTTTAGGAGAGAAGGCCACCTCAGTTCCTGTACGTAAGGAATGTTCATGCCCTCGGTGATTCTATGGTATGGCGATCAAGAGATGGAGCCAGTGAGCAGAACATCCCATGGCCAATCAGTTTACATTAAATTGATGGGTTGTAGTCAGAAAAACTGCAGTTTCTTCCAGTAGGATCAAATAGCAATTTTCCCGAAGTACATCGTGTTGACCAACTGAAGACCTTCGGGCCATTTAAAAATGGGATTAAGGCTTGCTTGTTCGCAGATCGCTAGTATATTCAGGTGTACATTAAAGCATACTGGGAAGTTTCATTAAAAATTTGAGAATTCACAAGCCTCTGGTCTTATAACGAGATTGCGCGTTAGATGAAGTGATGTGATGCAATTTAATTCACCATTTACGCACTGTTGACGACCTTTTCTCGAATCACGCAGTACTGGTTGCGCTTGAAGATGTTGGTTCACTTGCATCTCAAATAAACCTGAGAAACTTCATGACGATTTGGAATCAATACTCTCCAGCTGAGATCCGACATTCCTTACCAATAAAGAAAATTAAAAGATTCCACAAACAGCTGCAAAACGTTTCCAATATCACGAAACAATCCTGCCAACTTACACCAAGGTATAATCAAATAGTATTTCTAACCTCGTGTTTTCGCGTGTTCAAAAACTGTATACCACGTTCCGTTGGAACATGATTGTCAAACTGAGCCACCCAGAGAAAATCCTCTAGTGAACCTAAATGAATATCCGACCTGCATATCACCGGCATACCATCATGCTTGTTAAATAATATACACTAGGCTTAACACACTACTCATAAGATTGCTGAAAACACTCCAACAGCCCACAATCGGTTTCGCCCTTCCACTTCAGGTTCATCAGCCAGGTACAGTCCCATAGTTTCCGTAAACCCAAGGTGGACAGATCCCAACAAATATCCTCGTTTGTGTACGGACCTGGCTTTGACAGAAGATTCAGCTGAATAAAGCTTCAACCGAATATGCTGCACTAGTCTATATAGGGAAGCACGAGAAGCACACGGGACTGTTAATACACTCCAGTAACAAGTCGCTTAATGAGTCAAACCACAAAACACCACGAACGACTAAATGAGTGACTACGTGTTCCCCCAGTGGGGTTTGTAAGAATACACCCTGGTGACGGACAGGACTACAACTTCCTATCTGTTCCAGGACCCCGGTCGGAAATGGTTACTTATGACGACCCAATAAGCAGTCTAGAGGACAAAAATACGTGTATTTGACTTTCTAACAGAACTGATGAAATTGTTGAAAGTATTACCTTTCAGCCAACCACTATCCTCGGGAGAATGCTGCGTAACTGAAGCCGCACTTGAGCAGTGGTCAATGCCCTACACAAACCTGAGTGTTAACCTGCCTATCCACCACTCATCCATCCCACCCGTCATTTGCTCGTGGATGTGTCATGCTAAATGACACATATTAGAAAATTTCTGAACAAAACAGACATCTAAGTGATCGGCGAGGTCTCACTAGCTCCATACGAATCACCCGATCAATCCAGCTGGAACCCTCAGTATGGTTTCTCAAGTGCAACCAAAGTGATTGGTGGTTGTTTGAAAAAATGCACTTGCAACCGCCACGTGCGTCGCAATTCACCTACAACATATTATCCTTTTTCCCCAGAAACGTCATGCGAAACTGTAACTCCAGCCATGGCTTGCTAAACACTTCACTGCAATTTCGATATGGTCGTCGTTTTTATACTGCTTATTTTTACACATGTCCGATGGGATCACGTGGCTTGGATCATATAACTGCAACATGTATGTCCTAATCACTGAGTGGTCCCTTTCACGCTAGTCGTCTCGACTCTAAATGGGGTAATCGGGAGAAAATCCAAATGAAAAACCAGAAGTGGCAATTTTTCGGAGTCAAAGGTGACCTGTGCAGAGTAGAACAATATCATCAGCATCATCATCGACAGCGTGACATCAATGTTCAACACCGATGCTTCACTGCCGTAGAACGATATGTACAAACAGGAGCAACACATGATCACCAAAATTCAAAAACCTAGTTTTTTCAAGCTGTATTTTGATCAAAAAGTGCTTATAACTTCAATCATTCTCTTTTAAAGCGTTGCAATTATTAAAACGTCAGAACGCCACTATGAACATCCAGCATACGAAAACTATACCAATAGCCGGAATGAGCTCAGTATTTTTAGTGACCTTGCAGCGAATCGGAATAATGATACAAGACTGAAGTGCCGAAAAAACTGCTGGTAAGAATTCTTTATATCCACCCTTCCGATGTGCTTTAAACACAAGCAAATTGCGCATCCTAAGAAGCAAATTTGTTGGGGCTAAGCAATCTTATCCACTGAGCCCCCAATTCTCTCCCTCTCGGGTCTTGGATGACACTGATTCAATAGCAAATTGATCTTCCTGAGGATTTCGCTGCGTATCGAAAAGACCAGTCCTGCGAATAGTTTGCGCAAACAGGCTGACGGATGTGCGGCGTCGTTAAATTGACAGTTGATACAACAGATCGTGGCCACATTGGCTGGCCTTAGTGGAAGCTTTCTTTCAGATTCATATCATCCTAGTAACTGGTTTGTTAGTTGTTCATGCGATCGACATTTTGCATCAGAACGGAATAGAAGTAGACGTGTGATAAGATCTACGTGACAGATGGAGTCGATCGGCCGCACTTTGTCGCAAGTCATGGTCCGTGAAACACGACTGTTGTGTGCGGTGGAGTGTGATGAAGGGAGATAGCTCAAGACTTACTGGCTTGAAAGAACACGATAGTATCACACTCGCAGTTGACTGCAAGAGATCTGCATAGATCGTAAGAGCTTTCAGAGTTCCACTTTATTTGGAAGAACGATACAAAGTAATCAGTTCACCGAGGTATGTCGTTTATTGTACAACAAAAGCAAAGGGTCCAAACAATGTGGCTGTTCTCGATTCACCAACAGATATTGTGTCAGCCACCGGAGTGAACAAGAGACAAAGTCGAGCCAACCACAAGTACGTTAATTACAAGTTCGACCAGTGCCGTACCCTTTTTAATCAGAAACTGAAGTATATCTTTCATCCCTAGAAAGTGTTGACTTCTATTTTCTCGAATGGAAAGCTGTATAGCAAGCAGGCCTCAATCCAATACCGCGCGAAGACGACTGTTCCGGTCTTGTTCACCCATGTGAAGAACCAGTAAGTCACGCCTCTTCTAACAGTGAGTGGCACCGATTTCATGTCAAGTAAATTATGCCACTCATCACTGGTAAGCTCAGTGAGATTTACATGCACCAGAAAACAACCGGAGTGTCGGCTAAGCCCACATACTAAGTAGAACCCCAACAAGAGATGTCTACTGACGTCGCCTATGAAAAGACTGTTCTAATTTGAGTCTTCACAGAACATGGAGGTAAACTGGAATGCCCACCACGTTGTCAAAATGAGCCGCACAACATGATTCCTCAAACCACTGGTTGTGAAGCCATCGAACACGTCGCTTGCCCATCTCCGAAATATGTTGTAAGCTATCAAGTTATTCTTTAGACAGAGGATTCACTTAACTGTGCGGCATTTATCTGCTATCCGCTACGGTGAATGTTAGCTCACACACAGTCTTCAGACCGCATTTCATCCTGAAAATTTCAAATTACTCAAAATCAGAGCGACAAAAGTTAAATCGAATCAGAGCCTACAGTGCAAGAATAGGCAAAAAATTATTTCCTATGCCTTAGTTTTTGCAAACCAAAATGTAGAGCCTTTCACTGGTTATTGCAGCATAGTAAATCTCTCAGGTAGGTAACTGATGAGGGACGCTGTCTGCCGTAGTAGATTTGATCGTAAGTAAAGGACCCACAAGAATATACAAAATAATTCACAACGGTGAATCTGTTTAAAAAACTTCCTTCACTGGGAGCGGAGAAACAAAGAGCATTGTTCGTTACTTTTCTGAGGTCCGAAAAGACTCACTCCAAATATTTCATCGACGGAGTAAAGGGCTTTAAATACCCTAAAAAGACAGATAATATCCTGATGACGAAGGCTGATAAAGGTGTGCACACCGTAGTCATGAACAAGAAGGGCCATCAGCAAAAGGTCAAGCAAGATATGACAGATGGGTTTTAGTGAATAATTAGTGGCAGGAACATGAGGTCAATAATTTCATGAGAGTAAGGTCAAAGTAGAGAGGTCTATGATCCATGATAGACCACTTACAGCAAGGCCAGTGGCATCGATCGTATCAGGGTTCTATGGCCTGTCAAAAGCAATAAGGCAGATGTGCTCATTGGATCGATAGTGGGCGGCCCATGTTCTCTACTTAATGAACTGACTACATCCTCAACAAATCGGACAATAACACTGAAAAAATAGGACTTGAAAGGAAACTTCAAGAATAAAGTCGTTTAAAAAAGAGGATATTCTAATGAGCTTACACGTCACCCTATTTCATTCCAATGTGCTGAAAATGCACTCAGAAGCAGCCATGCAATTCCCATTGGAATAAAACACCGTCAGACTGGAAGCAGTTCACCGTGGGTAAAACAGCAGAGGGCCTCACTCACCGTGTTTTTTTACTGAGAGTGATGCCCAAAAACAATGGCTAGTAATAATTTCTCTAGCACCCCAGGCTTTGGCGACTAGCTCCGTCAAGGATTACGGAGAAAAAGCTTTGACCAGATTTACATATCCATCAAAAGTAGCTTATAGGTGACGCTTTGTCTTCAATGACCTAGACAGGGTCGATGAACTTACAACTGCATTAATAACCTGAATCCCTACACCGAATTTCGCATGTGGATAGAGTCGAACTCGGCACTACACTTCCTAAACCGTATGGCACATAACTTTGATGTGAAAACAAAAGCCAAAATGTACCCATTTTACGTCCGTCTTTGCTAGTATTGCCCTATCAATGTTTGGCCAGCTGCCCCAATTAAAGCGCACTTCAAAAAGGTGGCTATCCCGCTAGTTTGAATGTGAACTAAGAAGAGTATTGGTATCTATGTTGGGACTCAACATGGAATGGATTGGGATTAGTGTCATTCCATTAAAAACACAGATGTATCCGAAGTCACTCAAAAGATCTTAAACAAGGCTAGCATAGGAGTAGCGTGGCAGAACGTAAACATACAACACTTCGTACTGATGCAATTAAAGAATCATCTTCCGGCAAAAATAATCAAGGAATGTGTTTATAAATTCAGGTAGTATGTTCACTCAAGGAGCATGAAAGGATAAACGAGCAAACAGGAAGCCGAAGGGTGTAGAGTGATGGTCAAAGGCTCAGAAAGTGCAGGACGTGTGCTGGACAATCGACGCAAAATAGAATAAGAAAACGCTGAGGTTTTTAGCGGGGGGTGGATAACCGAGAAGGTGGAAATTGCCAGGGACCAGAGAGCGAACAAAACAGGGGTGGAACTGGCGAGCTCGTGGAGTGCCATTTTGGATCATCCCAGTTGACACGTTGAGAGGCGCGGTGGTCGGCGGGGACCAATCATCAATAGGAGTATTGTGTCAAATGCCCACAGTTCAAGCTGACTAAAGATCCATGGTAAACTGATATAGCACTAAACAATCTATTCACATCGGCTGATGTACCCTAAACCGGAAGAACAACGTGCCAAAACCGATCACGTTGGCAGTAAACTCTTGAACATGACCCACTGTTTCAGATAACCGACATTAAAAAACTGTTTGAGCTGCTGGCTGAAAAACATCTCACTGTTTTTTCCGTCTGCCGCAAATATCAACAACTGGGCCAAAGAAGCTTGTGAGTAGCGAAACATCGCGCAACAACCGATTCACTTTTCCGAAGTATGGAGAATCATTGGGAGAACTGGCGAAGCTCTTAGGCACAGGTGAACCAAACAGTTGATCGGCGGTATTATGCAAACGAGATAGTTGGGACATCAGTAACAAAGTCCTAGTCACTGGATGGAGCAGGTTATCACCCCACTTGAACCGGTTACTACTCACCCAC